ATACCATTCTCCTACTTTCGGTCGCGGCACGGCGGCGCAAATTAAAGTATTTGGCTTGCTTTGAAACGCTCGCGCTAGATTTATGCGTACAAGTTCGTATGCGTCTTGCAAGCGGCGGTATATGGCGCCTGGGTTTGTCGGGTGCGGTGGAGCGGCGGGTAGCGATGGTGCGGGGGAGGCTGGATTTCGCGGCCGTATATTAGAAATGCAGGCGTGTAACCCGTCGCTTCATGGACCGCCGAATTATATGCGAATCGCAGCTCGTTTAAATGTTCGTCCCAGCGTTTATGCTCGCGTCCCACATATTGCGAGATCATCGTTTTGATCGTGCGGTTCGTCCGTTCCGTCGGGTTACAGTGTGGTGCGTAGGGAGGTGTGAATCGCTGTCTAACGCCGAGAGCTTGTAAAAGATGTGTGACGGGCGCGGAATGGAACTGTGTCCCGTTGTCGGAGAGGATTTCGTCGGGACATCCGTGTCGGTAAAAGATATTTTCGGCTAGGCTTTGCGCGATCGCTTCGCCGGTGGCTTTTCGCAGGGGGCACATTTCCACCCATTTTGAGAACCGATCCTGCATGTTTAATAGCCACGTATATCCGTGATTCGAACGCGGCAGTGGTCCCACCAAGTCTACTGTAATCTGCTGCCATGGTTGATTTATTGCGGTGGCGTGCAGCATTCCCGGCGGTTTATTCTGTTCTACTTTGTAAGCTTGGCAATTTTTACAATTTCAGACGAAGCGCGCGATATCGCGAAACATTCCGGGCCAGTAAAATTCTCGGGCGGCCCGTGCGATGGTTTTTGCGATTCCGAGATGCCCGGCGGTAGGTTCTTCGTGCACGCGCCTCATTACCTCGGTGCGTTCCTGGGAGGGGACGCATTGTTTCCATTGTTCCTGAGGCGGGGTTTCGTGGAAATTTAAATCGTGGAGTACGTGATGGAACAATCGTTTTTGCTGGATACAATAGTCTGGTAGTTCATGGGGTTTGGCTTTAATTTTTCCCCATATCCGGTCGTACCATGAGCACCGCGTCGGTTGTATCGCGGCGACGGTTGTTTGTCGCGAAAGGGCGTCCGCCACGCGGTTGAGGGTTCCCTTTCGGTAGCGGATATCGAATTGGTATTGCTGCAATTCGAACATCCAACGTCCTAGTCTTCCTG